AATGAAGAATGGAAATACACTAGTAATCTTTGAAATAGTATTGTTGAATGTAAACTCTGCTAATTGATTGATTGATTGATTGATTGATTAATTGAATTTACGTTCATCTTCAGTCTAAGACTATATAGGACGGCTAGGCCCGATGGGCCTAACAGATAACTTTTTGATTTACAATATTGATTATAATCTTATTAGAGAAGTAAAAACAAATACTAAGGAATAATGCCCGCTTATTATATGCATTGTATATAATAAGAAAATTCTAACAATCAAGAAATTGTAAGAAGATCAAACCCCTTTTTTATTTCCTTAACTATTTCTTTTTCATTATCTTCTTCTTTTTCCTTTTCCACTATTACTCCTTTCTTTATTACTTCTTATTCAAAAGTCCTTGCTAAATACCATACTCTTGTAGCGATTTTGGTAATATTGATAAATTTGATAGTTAATTCGATATCTATTTTGATATATAATAGGAATTGTATAGTGATTTTCGATAATAGTATATTCTGGAATATCTCTTTTCTTTCTGTTTTGTATATAGGATAGCTAATTAGGAGGTATTGCAGTATCTCAATATTACTATATATACATCTATTATTAGAATAATTAATCGATATAAATATAATTTGATATATCTGTAATCTAATTTCAATTGAAAGAATACACTAACAGTATTTCGACTGATTCCAATTGGTAGTTTAATTTTCGATCCGATTTTCCATGAAAATAGCTTTGAATAGGTTAATGCTGATTAATTGGATCTGAATTTATATTAATTGAAAGTTGAATTCCATTAATTGAAAAAGAATTTTTTGATTATTATTTCTAGCAATTCGAAACTGATTTTATTCGAAATAGATTGTATTATAATAGCCTCTTTTGCTAGCTTATTTATTAGCTCATTCCCTTTAACTGATATATACCCTAATACTTAATTCAAGAATATTTCAGATCCTTTAATTATAATAACTTCGGCTATCTTGATTACTCGAATTTGATATACTTGCCCTAAATAATCTGAGGATATTTTTCAATCGAAAAAGGCCTATTTAATTATTAAATAAACCTTGAACTTCTTTTCATTATTAGCAATTGAATTAATATATTCAATAATTTGAATAACTTTATATAGCTTTTCATTATAAACTAATTAATTACTTTTAATATTAACTTATTCTTAATATGAAATCTGATCATTTAATTGTATTAATATTATCCCTATACTAATATCTATTCCCTTTTCAATAGAAAAGATATTTGTATAAATATAAATAGTATTTCAATTTTTATATTTATGTCACGGGGTGACACTAAGCCCTTTCTGTCCTGTCCTGTCCTGTCCTGCTATATATGTGAGAGTAAGGTAGAACTTCCAGTTCTACCTCCTAGTCTTTTGGGCGTTTAGCTCAGCGGTAAAGCTTCTGAATACTCCCAGAGGTGATCCCGTGACAATTTAGAAATAATATTATAGAGTATTACTATATTTTCTTTTGACATTTAACTAATATTAATTTTAAAAGGGATTTCCTTTTTTTATAGATAGAAGTGAAAATGGATAATCTTTTTGAAAGAGAATGAATCAAATTCTTTATTAATTGATTTCTTAATTCTATTAAATTAAATTGATTTGTATAGCTTTCTTTAAGAAATGTTAATCGTTTTCTGATTAACATATTAATATACTAAAATAGCTTTTTCGATATTAATTGAATATTTGAATAAGAGTTTTATTAATCGAAAAGTGTATTACTTGATATTTGAGTTTAATCAGATATTACTGATTTTAATTCTGATTCGATTTTTATTAAAAAAATTAAAATAATTTTGAAAACTTTTAGTATTTTTTGGAAAGCTAGGTTTTAAAAAGCTTGTATTTTATTCTTAAAGTAAGCTTATCCTCTCCACCAAATTATTAATCTGTAATTAACTATACTAGTTATATAAACTATATATAACTATTGAAAAGCTTAGAACTTAGGTCTTTTTCAATATTTGCTAGTTAAATCATTCAATAAAAGACTTCTTTTGTTTATATAATTTGGATATTGATATATTGATTAAATTTGAGATTTGAATCGAATTATATATCTAATTATTTAATTAAAAATTGAGATTTAATAATATCCGAATTGAATAATATAATTAAAAAGTTTTTGATTAGCTTGAATATTAAAAATACATTAATTCTATCTTTATTAAATCAAATTGAATTATACTTTTCAAGCTAAATTTGTAGATTTGCTTTATAGCTTTCTTAAAAAATCTAATATTCTTTTTCTATAAGGATAAATTTATAATTAAAATAATATTATTAATATAGAAGAGAAATTTAATTGATTTTGAAAAGAATAATTCTTTAATATATATTAGAAAAAGGATTAAAGAAATTGGACTGCCTTATGATATTCCAATCGAAATAAGTTTGAAGAATTCGATTTGATTATTAAAAAAAAGTTTTAGTTATTTTTGTTATAAAAAAGAGGCTATCCAGAAAATGAGATTTGTTAGTAATTTCAATTTCTTATAAATATCTAATAATCGATTTCTTAAAATGTAATCGAAAACTCCCTTTATATCCATAAATAGAATTAAGGTCTTTTTATGGATTTGCTTGTTTCTTTTGATTTCAATAATTAGAAAAAGGATTATATCAATTATTGATTTCTTTTGTTAGTTTTCAATTTGACTTTTATATAATAGATTAATAGTTTCTGCTAAATAACCTAATCTTTGAGCTAAAATCCTTTTGCTAATCTTTTCAAAATAATTTAGAAATATAATAACTCTATATGCTTTTGAGGCTGAGTAATCGGGTTTTTAAAGGTTTCTTTAGAATCGCTCCAATGACTTATTTCCAGCATTGTGGGTAATATCCTAAATTGATTAGATTGCTGAATAGATTGAAAAAGATCTGTGGAATTGCTTTGTATGCTTTTATAATAATCTCCTAAGTAATTCCATCTAGGCCAGGGGTTTTTCCTTAGATTTTGGCTGAGCAAGCATTACTTAATTCGATTTGTGAAAGACTAGGCCATTCCCATTTCTTGGATTGCTTGTATCCTTCCCATTATGGTTTTGGAGTGATAGGCAGAAATGAATTATATTATAACTACTTTCTAGAACATATTATAATACAAAGTAGATTCGCTACACCTACAAACGCTTTCCCGGCTCACTTGTAATAAAGCCACTAGTACTAGGCTTCTATAGAATCTTCTGATTACATTAAACCACCTATTATATGATTACCTTTAGAAATTCCAGTTAAAACTAAAACCATTCCTTCACATCTTTATTTCTATTTACTCCTTAAGTTTATCTAATACCTCCATCATACCCTCTGCCCTATAGTATCCGATTATAGACTGATACACATATCCGTCCTTTTAAGCTATATAGATAGTATCACTATTGCTATCATTATATACTATACCTTACAACTAGTAATCGTTTTGTATTACCTTACCAAATCTTTCCTATATAACAAAATCGATTATATTTTGCAGGCTTGCTATTTCAGATCCCTAGTCAGATAGCTTTTCCATAATATTTCTAACCCATTAATCAAAGCTCTGCTTATAAAATCCATTTCCCCCAATATATAGTTTATAATCGAAAGTAGAGTATTAAAAGTATATTGTATATATATATCATAGAATTAGTCTCTATCTGAGATTCTCCATTACTATAATATCGATTGAGTATTATCGAATATGACTTACTAAAAGCGTCCTTTCTATATTGGAGTTCCTTCACCGCTATATCACTCCCGCATACTTGAAAATAAAATGCTAAAAACATCCCTTCTCCTATTTTATATATACTTCTACCAGCTCTAGTAGATATTATTCTAGTCTTTATATACTTCCTACTATTCCCCTATTATTTATAAATATCCGATTCAGTATATCCATAGATTGTATGTATTATTGGATTATAAAAACTCTGTATACTAGTATTCCAAAGATATTCTATTAATTTTTGTTTGTTAAGTTAAGAATATTAGCTTTGCTTCTAATATAGGCTTTAATCAAACTCAGCTATATTATAAAAGCTTTATTATTCACTATTTTAAGGGCTAGTTTCACTTTGTAGATACTTTGTTACAATATACTTTGACTCTACTCTCTATATAGATTTGTAAAGACATAGTTCCATATCAATCCCACTCTTATCTCCCTTCCATTATCAAATAGTTTTTATCTCCGTTTTTACTGGTAATCCTCTATTCCGAGTATCTTTGCAATCACTTTTTGATGATCAGCTATATATACTTTTGCTTCTAATACAGCCTCCGATTAGTGTACAACCACCACCCAGCTCCAGCTGACTCTACTTAGCTCTCCAATCGCATAATCAAAGGTTCGTAGGATACACCACGTACAGGTGAGAGTCATCGTATCCCAGTGTTCCGCCCAATCGCGCCCTCGAAATTTCCGCCTGTGAAAAATTCGGTTCGATGGATGGTATAGAAGGCTCTATTGAACTCTATGATGGACAAACCAAGATCTGTAAATTGTTTTGGCGTGATCCTTACAGCGGGAGCAATGACTTCCAAGTTCAGGATCATGAGATTGGAGGGAGTTATCATATAGAAGTTAGCGATTGGAAACCGTTCTAATGGAAGTTTGGGAAGAGTGAATGTGGTGATTCTGAAGATGGCTTAACTTGGGTTTGATTACTGAAGGAGGTGCAGAAAATATGTTGTGTTGTGCGAAGAATTTCAAGAGCTTAATTCTCCAATAGGTAGACTTATCTTATACTGGAAAGCACTCCAATACTATCTTGAGATCAGTAAAACCATGGAAGACTTGTGATAAAACGCTTGTGATACTATTAACAGACAGAGAGCAGAATAGACTAGGGGTAACCCTGGATATTCTTTTCAGTTTCTTGTCCTATAAACGTCAAATACTTAAGAGGGAATACTGGTATCGAACCCTGATGGCATCATTATTTCCGTTTCATCCCTCCTCTTTAGCCCAGACCTATTACCCTCACCTCTCCAACACAATGTCCCCATCCAACAATCTTCTCTTCTGCTTAAACACTACATTCACACCCTCCAACATCCTGATCGCTTGAACCGGTACCTCATACTCTTCATCTTTCTGTTTCTGTCGCGAAAGCAACCAATAAACATGACACAACAAAATCGCCGAAAGCCAAAGCTGTTCTGAGAGTTCTTCGCCTTCTGAAAGAGCTTGCCGATGATTCACAAGTGTACGATCGAGATAACGTCTTAATGCAGTGCTTAGAAGAGAATCATGGGGTGTATATGTATGCAGATGGAGTGCCGAGAGCGCGAGCATGGGATTGAGCACGATTTCGGAATCGAAAGAGAGCTGCGGAATGGTGTGTTGCCATGCGCGTGTGGAGCGCCTAGGCAGCCGGGCATGAGATTACTCACTATTGTACTGTAATGGTACGTTAAGCGGAGTTCTAGAGATCGCCATGGGCTTGTTGTATCTGCTAGGGTGTTTGGGTAATGTTTCGATGCTAAAACTAGGTGCAGGTATAATGGGCGTTGATAAACGCTGCACTGCTGATTTTTTGGACTTTTGGGAACCCGTACTCCAATCACATTGGGAAATGTTGATATATCGTCGTCGACAGTTGGAACAGATGGGCTTTATTTCATCGCACTAGAAATCATCTTAGCAAAAATTGTAACATTCGATTTATTACGCTACCTTCACTTTACGAACTCTACAGTCACGACACCCAGAGTGAGATTTCCTTAGCAAAGGGACTCCGGGTTGCCGTTGAACAGGAGTACTAACAGATTCCATCAAAGTTATGAATTGGAGTCATTATCTATCGATTACTCCTGAGATACACTAGAAACGAAGATGCGAAGATGCGAGCTTCCGATACCTAATTGTCGTGAAGATGGATTGGTAAGTAGAATGACCGATCCACTTTCGTGATCTGTAAGCACTAAATGGCCAGGTGTAGTTACAAACAGCCAATCATGTTTGAAAGCGAACAGCGAGTCGCTTCACGCTAAGACTATTTCTGGAATTAGAACACCAACCTCAGGATTGGAAGGAGGCTAGAGCCTAGAGGGCATGATTTTGTCTAGTTACTTACACATCTATAAGAGCACGAAAAGCATCTGTAATATTGAACACCGTCACCAAGTTTCCCATAAAACTTCCTTCAGAATAATCATTTCAAGAATTTATCTTTCAAAAACTACACACCTCAGACACGATGTCCAAAATCCTCGCAGTCCTTTGGAGCCACGGCCAACAAGGAAGCTCCATCATCCACAATGTGTTAAATGACCCATCTCTATCCCAACAATATACCATCCGAGGTATAACCCGCAACACCACCTCCCCTGCATCCCAAAAGCTCGCCGAGAAAATCTCCCTCATTCACGGCGACATCACCGATCCCCATTCGCTCCGCACAGCATTAGCAAACGTTCATACCGTATTCATCATGACTCTTCCCGGTTTCAGTCCCAACGCAGTAGAAATCGAATACCACAACGGTAAAACCATTGTCGACGTAGCTATCGAGATGGGAGTGCAATATATAATTTTCAGCACCTTACCCCACGTATCTTCACTCTCCAAAGGTAAATACACCAAATTCACCGCGTTTGATTCAAAAGCCAAGATCGAGCAGTACATCCGGAGTCTTGCGATCAAAAGTTCTTTCATTTCGCTCGGTTCCTTTATGCAGAATTTTCAAGCGCAAGACTTTCTGGCTCCGCGAGCGGCGGCGGATGGGACATGGGTTTTGTCTCGACATAGTAGTTTGAAAATGCCGTTTCCGCTACTCGATGCGGTGGGTGATGCGGGGAAATTCGTGGGTGCGATTCTCGCGGAGCCAGATAAGTATCAGGGGAAAACTTTCTGTGCCGCGGTGAAAATTTACACAATGGAGGAAATTGTCGCGGCATTGTCGGAGTCGAGTGGGAAGATTATCGTTTATAAACAAGTCAGCGAGGATGCTTTTAAGAGTAGTATGTCTTTTGCGGCGGAGATGTTTGCCGAGTATTTTAGCTTCTGTGAGGAATTGGGATATTGGGGTCTAGGATCTAAGGAGAAAGTTGTGTGGGCTGTGGAGAATGCGCGTGGTAAATTGGCAACGTTAGAGGAGTATTTGGAAGTACATCCTTATCAACTTGAATGATGATATAGTTGATCAATCAATAACCTATACCATATTCAGGGGATTGTTTGTAGGAGCACGAATAGTAACAATAGCCACAACACACAATGACTGTTTCTCAACACTCATCACTGTATTCACGATACAAAAAATCCCTTCATATTTCCAACTATACAAATCGCACTAATCTCTAATCCTCTCAATTATTATCCTGATTCCCTATCCCCAAACTCTCAAACCAACTCTCCAAACAGAACACAACTCGACTTTTCTTCTCAATCGTATATACACATCATATCATCTCGCCCTCTTCCCAAACATCCCCACCAACAATATCGCACAGAATAACACACAGAGACACCTGCTCAACCCATCATATGCTAAATTACCATCAAACCTATCAGACACATAAAAAAGAGTATCTTCATTCTACCCAAAAACTCCAATCATCGACTTTCTATACAAATCACCCTACGTCACGTAATCCAATGTTCGAGCTCAAGATTTCGCATTCTACAATTAGCAGAGAGATGGATTACTCAAGCCATATCATAGCTTACCTACCTAGGTCCTTATAGCAAAACATCAATATTCAACATATCCATCACCCAACTTCAATCCATCCTCAGGAAAAATTTCCAGATATACAATACAATACAACACAATACAACACAAACAAACATCCCACCACAAAACCCCCAAAACCTTCCACACAAGCATTCACCATCTCCCCAACAATCATAAACCACCAACCCCAACATCCAATCCATAACACCATCCCACTCCCCAAAAAATCTCAACATCAGCCATACCTCTCAACCCATCCGTTTCTCGAATCTCATTTTCCAGCACAGAGAATAATCACACATTATTCCTAAGCATCTAACCCTATTCGACGAATAGGATTACCCTCCGATAGAGTTTTTCTCCGAGTCCTCGCAGTTTGGAGATGATATGTAATATTCATCCCCTAATCTCATCGAGAAGCGTATGTGTTTTTAGCGATATCTATCTATATATCTCTCCTTTCCCCAAGCGGGAAAGTATAAAAATTCCCTTTCTGTATAGAAATTTCTTATTTGGTAATCTATATACATATAATCTCCTTCATTTGTATTTCCGTATCCTTATTTCTTTAAACTCTCTCACGAATTTATTACTCTTTACTCTCCTTATCAAATCCTGAAATTTAAAATTCAAAATCTCGCTTAGGTATCGGTTCCCCTAATATTACTACTACACTTTCGAGATTCGAATTTCTTTCTTTCATTCTCATACAATACATTACAATTACAATTTCACAAACTCAATATCCTGCTCATCTTACATTTGTATATATATAATACTCAGAGATGTAACAAATACAAATACAAATACAAATACAAATGTGAATACAAATATGAATACAAATATGAATACAATCACAATCACAATCTCACAAACTAGATATCTACTCATCTCACATATATATATTCTAACTCATCCCACTACACTCATCCTATTATACTCATTTCGAATCTCGAATTTCATATTACTCAATCATTTCATATCGAAATTCAAAAATTTGATATATTATCAATATAGATAACTCTATGAACTGTAATCATAGTCATAATTATAATATAGAAATAAACATATATCTATATCACAAAAATTCATTCATTCTTTCGCTTTCCTATCTTCCATCTCTCTATTCTTATTCCTATCCCTATCTTTATCTTTATCCCTATCTCATTCTTATTTTCTATTCGTGATTCTCATTCCTATCTCCTATCTCTCATCTCAATTCTATATTCTATATTCTCTATACCTTTCAAAATTCTCTTTTTCTTTAAATCTCTTTCTTTCAGAAAATCTATATTATACTATATAAAATCTCTATTTCTATTTCTATTCCCTATTTTTTATCCCTATTTTCTATCTCCCATCTCCCCCTCCCCCCATCTAACACCCCCTTAAAACCCCTCTAATCTCCCCCTTAAACCCTCTAAGCCCCCTACCCCTCACTTCACTTCTTTTCTTTTATCCACCTCCACCTCCATCTCCCATCCCCACCCTTATTAAACTATTCCATCAACCATCCATCCATCAATCAACCATTATCAAATACCATATACATACATACATATACATACATACATATGTATATATATATATAGATCTCCCTATAGATACTAATAGACAAACACTACCCACCCACCTTCTCATTTTATTCCATTCCCAATCCTAATAACTTGTAATCTTTATCGCATTATCAGTCTACTCTCCTCTTCCATCCCATCCCTTCCCATCCTCTTCCATCCATCCCATCCCAACCCAACACATTATACATTCACTCACTCTCATCCCAATCTCAAACCCAATTATTTATTTTGATTGTATTTTCATTCACTCGCTACGTACTCTACAGTACACCCACATACTTCTCCCTCGCTCCCCGTATTCCATCCCATTTCTTTCCATCCCTCCTCCTCCAAATCCGCTGCCCCCCCCTCCCCAACTCCCCATCTATCAATCGATCGATCAATTACCATACCATAGCCACACAAATCATTCGTACAAATTCCTCTATCTTCCTTCCTCTATCCCTCATCCAACTTCTCCTCTCCATCCTACACTATCCATCCATCCATCCATTCATCCCATCACAATCACAATCATAAAAGCCGTTAATTCTTCCATCCCATCCATTTCTTCTGCAAGAAAGGCCCAGCCAAAAACAAAAACCAAAGCCGGGCCCTATCCCATCTATATGAATTTCATGTCACAAAGACTGAACAAACAGAAATCTATGATCATTTCATTTTCGCCCATCCCAATCAAAAAAGAAAAAAAAAAAGACAAATGCAAACCACCCCCACCCCCACCCACCTCCAAAAAAAAAGCACCCAACCAAACCCAACCCATCCACCCAATGCCCCTATAAAATAGTGAAAGATGAGAAAAAAATTGACGATGTGATATTTTCGCCAGTTACTATATCTTCTCATCTGTGGTGAACAGGAGAGCTTGTCGTATTCTGCTCGACAAAGGAAACTCGTTGATTAATACTTTTTAGTCGCAGTATATCGGGAATGTTCATGATCCCGAAAGAATTTCAAAGCGCTAAGTTCAGGTGATTTTGTTTCATATAATCCAACGGAAGAAATAGAAGAAGAAAAAGTCCATCCTATGTGCGTAACGC